ACAAATGCGTTGTAAATTAAAAAATATGTGTACTGTCTAAGGCTACAAAAGTATAAATGAGTTGGCATTGAGACACTAAAAAGTCGACGCTTTTTCCTAACTTCATGATGCATGAACATTGAGCTCGATGTAGAATCCTATTCTTTGGATTGTATGGAAGTCTCCCTTTCGAAACACTCCCATTTTATATTATATCTGAAATGAAATGAATGTCAACTTAAATTTGCTCTTTGAGGTCGCACTTTAGATCTTGATCTTTTGGTGGTATAGATAGGAGTGCCCTTTCTTTTGTGTTCAGAGCCTCCCTGTGCTGCGCGCGCTCGTCTATCCGCTTCTCTTTACGCGCTCGGTCTGAGCAGATTCAAAAGTCTAGTTCCTGACTATTTGGATTGAACTCTTCTATCTAAATAGCTGTACTAAGAGAATATAGACTTTAGTATGGATTACCCGTGCTTAGATCGACCATCAAATCGTCATATTTGGCGAGTTTTTGGTTTTCCTTAAAGACTTTAAAGCCGTTTTGGGTAATCATCGTTCAATTTTGATATTTCGATTACAATGTTGAAATTTCTTTGAAAAGCGCAGACATCTTATATTAGAAATTTTCTAGATTAGGAACTTTTACTGATCCATTACTAGGATAAAATAAAATAGGACTATTAGGAAAGTATAAGACATAATTAAAACTAATGAATAGTCTTAATGAAGTAAATAATGATAAGAGAAATGTATATAATAAATATATGCGAACGGTAAAGTATGCTTTAATTACTTCTACATATATTTTTTATACATATTGTAAGTGTTTACCAAACAGATGATACATTTTTTTAAATGAAAGGAATTACGTATTTGACACAAACTCTGATTTTCTAATCCCTATATCTTTGCAACCCAATGTTGTCTTGTAGCTCTAAGAATTTAAAAGATCAATTAATCTAAGTTTGAAATATGTTTTATTAGAAAACAGGTTGGGCTAGAAAATATGTAATATATAGTATAGGTCGTCATTAAATATAGTTTGAGCAAATAACCTTGTATGTAAAACTATAAATTAATAAAATATAAAGTATGAGTACATAGTCGAATAAGAAGTCTGAAATAAATTATATAAATTCGGGGACCCCGCACAATTTTACATTAATAATATATGAGGGATCGAGGGAATATTCCCCACCCCCCCGCTGTAATAAGGTTCGGGGGGAAATGTTATAAAAGGAAGAAAATTGGCAATTAGTAATGTTTAAACATGGATATTTTCATTAGTGAGAATTATTTTACATGCTCCAACTATATTTTACATGCTCCAACTATATTTTACATGCTCCAACTATATTTTACATGCTCCAACTATATTTTACATGCTCCAACTATATTTTAAATGTTTTCCGTAGAAGGAAACATGATGAAATAAGTATAAAAAATATTGACCACATATTGTATAAATGATATTTGAGACTTTGCCACAATCTCGAATTTTCTAATCTCTATGTCATTGCACCCTACGACATTGGGTTGCAAAAATATAAGGATAAGAAAATCAGAGTTTGTGGCAAAAACTCAATTCCTTTACTCTTAGAGTTCAACAGTTTTCTTCTAAGAAATTATAGTATAAAGACTTTTTATTTATCTTTTTAAATTGTTTCTTTAAAAAAAAGTTCGACAAATCAAAATCTACAAATTCGAACTTTTTCAAGTTTAAGTTTATTTTTATTTTTAAACTTTTCAAGTTTGCCTTGAAAAGAGAACTTGAGTAAATAGAAAGAGAGAAAGTATTAGAAGAACACGCTTCAATAAATCTTTATTTCTGCTCAGAGGATAAATTGCAAACCAAGGTCTTACTCTCTCCTTCTCACACTCTTTTCTCCTTCCCAACTTTCCTATCTTCCTCTTTTCTTCCTTTCCCTCTTTTCTTTCTCCCCTTTCCTCTTCCAACCCCCTATTCCATTCCCTTTCTTTGATATATCATTTTCATAAACATTAAACATTTTAATCCTTCTAATAGAAAAGTGTTAATTTAATACTTAGTTAATTCAATATTGATTTCATTGTTTTAGAGTTAGAAATAGTTTATAGCTTCTATAGGCCCAAGCTTGATAATATTCTAAACCATGGTTGAACAAATTTTATTAATTAATTTGTAAAGTTGAGCCTTATATCTTAGCTTTTAAAGGTGTTGTAAGAGTGTTTATGACCATCTAGTTGTAACTATGGCATCTCTTCTTATTCACAACAAAAACTTTAAAACTTTTATCTGATCATCGAAAAAAGAGAAAATTGTGCTTTCCCACAAAAAAAATGGCAAAAATGGATTTTACACTATAGTTTAAAATTTGTTCTCAATACAACGACTTTACACTATAGTTTACAATGTGTATACTCAATACAAAACTGGATTTTAACTATAGTTTGCAATGTGTACTCAATACAAAACTGGATTTTACACTATAGTTTACAATGTGTACTCAATACAAAACTGGATTTTACACTATAGTTTAAAATGAGTTCTCAATACAAAACTGGATTTTACACTATAGTTTACAATGTTTATACTCAATACAAAACTGGATTTTACATTATAGTTTGCAATGTGTACTCAATACAAAACTGGATTTTACACTATAGTTTACAATGTGTACTCAATACAAAACTGGATTTTACACTATAGTTTAAAATGAGTTCTCAATACAAAACTGGATTTTACACTATAGTTTACAATGTTTATACTCAATACAAAACTGGATTTTACATTATAGTTTACAATGTGTACTCAATACAAAACTGGATTTTACACTATAGTTTACAATGTGTACTCAATACAAAACTAAATTTTACACTATAGTTTACAATGTTTATACTCAATACAAAAATGGATTTATAATTTTTTCAAGCAACGAAAAATTATATTTTTCGAGAAATTTTTCGAGAAGAGCTTGAATCAATGATTAAGATAAACATGTCATTGAAGCCAGTCAATGATTTGATTGTGAATCGTACAGGACCAGTTTAAATTTTGTCTCAACTCCTTTTGAAATACTTAGAATTGTCAAATTCTACTAATCAAAAATGAAAGATACTTTATAGTGAATCTTTTTTCATTTTTTGTCTTATAAAATTTAAACTTTTTATTTTTTTATTTATTTATTAATCAATTTATTTATTTATTTCAGAAAACTTTTTTATTTGACAAATCTAATAAACGTCAAAGTTTATTTTTACAAGACATTTATCAGAGAAGTTTTTATGACTTTGAAAACATTTCGACTTTAATAATAGATCAAACATAAATAAATGGGAAAACAGATGACGGGGGGGGGGGATTTGGTGCAAACTTTTTAATTGTTTCACTATCCATAAGATACCTGGCACAGACTGATAGGAGTATTCCAGAAGTTTTCAATATTGGAAAATAAAAAGGACAAATCATCATGACTTGAAATATTTAGGTTCTTAAAAACTTAAAAATATTTAAGTTTGTATTGTATTCTATTGATAATTTCTTTGAGAAAATTATGACTTTCCGCGCCTTCTTGTTGTACCATGTGAAGGAATTGAGCCTTTGCCACAAATTCAAATCTACTAATCCTTAGATCTTTGTTTAAACCTTTGATATGTCAAACTTAGATTATTATCTAACAGAATTCATTGTTTGAAATTTCATAATTTCATAGGTCTACGACATTAGGTTGCAAAAGTTAATAGAAAAGACTCCGAGTTATTAGAAAATATTCACGCAATTAATTAATTCCCCCTCATTATAGATTATAAATTAATTAGCACCAAACGATTTAACAGATTTTTGCATAATTTGATTTCTTTTCATATAAACAATCGATCACAATTTATTCTAAACCTGCATAACCAGATTGGGTCCAAATTTTTGTGTGAGCCCTTGCATGACACCAGGGAAGGTTTATGGATGCTCAGAATTAAAAAAAAGTTGTATTCAAAAGTTTTTGATTTTGGTGAAATTCTAAAAATATGGGAAAAAATATTTGAAAATCGTTTTAAACTATACAAAGAGAAGATGCTCACAGATAGTGCTACAATTAAAAGTTAAAACAGAGGATGGGCACGAAGCACCCTATAAAAGCCTAGAGTATTATAAACTTTTGAATTGAAGGATTTAAGTTTTATATTGAGAATACACTGGAAGAGTGGTTGATTGGATTTGGCTATATAGTTATTATTATTATGGAGAGTAGTCAGAACTAAATGGGGGGCGCGGGTGTTATTTTTTTGTTCTGCCCATGAGTGATTCAAGTGGAAATACAGGAGTTGTTTACCCCTGGCCTTTTCAATGTCCCCCGGCCCCTACTGAAGGATTTTATCCGGGGGTACTACCCCCCGCCCCCCCCCTACCTGTTTACGACCTAGTTAGCGTTAATGAAGGACTTTGGCTAAATGTTTAATGAGAAACACGAAGTAACTTTCTCGCTTTGTAAAGAAAATGCAAGCAATAATTATAAATCTATTTTTTCGAGGTCATTAAGTTTTCCAGGGTGGAGGGGACGAGGGGGGAGGGGGGGCATTGTTGAACATATTATGGGGGTATTAATGGAGGGGTGGGAGGATGGTGGTCGGGGATAGAAATTCTTATGTTTTTAGAACGGACCAATAACATTCTGCTGAGGGGCTAAAAGTGGTATTTTGATACTAGTAAGTCAACTAAAACTCGAATTTCTTAATACCGATATCTTAGATGTTGTAGAGCTTTGATACTTTTCAAACCATACATTCTATTAGCTCTAACTACCAAAGTTTGAAATATTAGAGAGTTAGAATTTAGAAAGCTAGAGTTTGAGACGAGTGTTCAGTTTCTCAGTAGTACGAAATGGTAGAGCATAGTAGCGTGGTGTAAAGTGTCTGGTATAGTGTATTTATTGTAAGGCGTGAGCGTATGTTGTATGTATGTCCGTATGAGTGTCTGTGTGTGTGTGTTTAAAGAGAACAGCCTCCATCCTCCTTCTCGTATAGGAAACCAGTTGTTGATACAAACCACTCAGGGTCGGACCATCCTCTCACGTTCTGCTCCAGGTATACTAGTCTATACTAATATCTCGGAGAAAAAACCTGGAAAATATTGACGAAAAGACCATGATTTGAAATTTAAACAATATATTTTGCTTAAGTTTATCAAAAAGCCAAGTGATAACCAGAGGTTATAAAAACTACACCTAATTATCATTTCAAGATTAAGAGTTGTTAATCAAGATTATAAACCATGTGTTAGCTCTAATCATCTTAAAACTCTGCTGTTTCGGAGTCAAACCTCAACTCCCAACGTAAGTATTTTCATAAAGATATTTTTTTAATCCTGTTTTAAACTTGAAAAAAATAAAAATTGAAAATTTATCTTGCGAAATAAAATTTTATTAATGCATAAAAAAGTCCATTTTAATTTAGTTTTTAAAACAATGACCTTAAACATTTGACATACTTACCATTAAATAAAAAGATAAGAAGAAGAATAAGAATATAAATAAGAATAAAAATAAGAATTAAATTCATAAAGAGAATAAGATTAAGAATAAGGATAAAAATAAGAATAAGAGTTCCTTTTGATTCAATTGTAAATAAGAATAAGAATAAGAATTAAATTAATAATAAGAATAAGATTAAGAATAAGAATAAGATTAAGAATAAGGATAAAAATAAGAATAAGATTAAAAATAAGGATAAAAATAAGAATAAGAGTTCCTTTTGATTCAATTGTAAATAAGCTTAATGAAAATTAGGACAAAAAGAGAATAAGAAATGGGGATACAGACAATAGGGCTGGCAAACTAGAATAGAAATTAAGAGAAATGAAGAGAAAGATGATATAAGTAAAATTAAAAAATTGATAGACTAACAAAATCTGATGGAAGAGTTGTTTATAGAGATTTTTAGGGAAAAATAGTTATGAAGGTTAGAAGGTTAGAATGCACAGTGCTAAATAGACAGAAGGAGAAGGTTAAGTTTATGTGACATTACTGGTATGTTTTTGTGACCTAGTAGCTCCTCTAGTTTTGATTTTGAACACAAGATATCCGGTTACATATTCACGCACCTCTGGCCCTTTAGTAAAAGTAAATTCATCATATATGAAGCATAAAGTCTGACCGCGTCAACCTTGTTGCACCGGCTAGTCCTGTCCATAGAGCTAGATACAGTACAAACTGAGACCGGAAAGGTTGACCCGGCTCGGAGATTCAAATGTACTACGGCTGCCCGTGTATTAGGAATTTAAAACAGTTTGGTTTTTGTCAACAGCTCTTCAATTTGAGGAGGTATAATTGAATCAAAAAAGATAAGAAGAAAAATACGAGAAGCAGAACAAGTAAATACAATATATAGATAAGTGTAAATGAAAAGAATAATATTTCCCGATGCATGAATAATGTTCACCGAAAATAAAATGAAAATATATTGTATAATGAATACATATATATATGTATTAATATGATTAGTTTTGAGTATTATAATCAGATAAAATACAGATTATCCTGATTTTATTATTCTATTATATTATTCCCTCAACCAGTCCACAATCATGATATAAACCAAAGATTAATTGTAAAAGTAGAATTTATAAAAAACCAATTAAAGCGAGAATTTTTTTTGCCAATAATTGGCAAAACTGAAGAAACAAAGTCACGCAATGGCAAGGAATCTTAAAATTTCAAAATAAACGAATTGGACATTTTATGAATTTTCTTCTAAAATTAAATTACACACCCGTCCCGCAAACCCCTATTGTCCGACTTCTGCCCCCCCCCCAAAAAAAAAAAACCTCCCCAATATCAGATCTATTGAATGTTTCCATAGCTGGCCTGTCCTAGCCGCAGTGCTCAGCCCAACAATTGTCTCAACCCAGCTTAACTTATATCGGAAAGATATCATTCATGTACATCTTAAAATTATTTTTTGGAGAGGCACCTCCTGCCCCCTCCCTCTTTCCTCAAGACTATTTAGTCTATGCCCCTGAAGGTTAATGGGCTTATCAAGGGTGGAACCCCTTCTAAAAAATCCATCAGACGTTATTATCTGTTGATATATTATGCTTTTGTAATTAGGAGGAAAGTTAAAGGTTTTATATACAATATGTAGTAAATGCCGTACTCGTAAAACTGCTTCCAGAACTTTATGAATTCCGCTGCTACTCGACAGCTATCAATATCAACAAGGACACAAGCTCTTCAGCGATCAATGCCAAACCAATGGACACAATCTTATCAACTATCAATGTCAAAACGGACACTTAATCTCTTAAGCGATCAATGCCAAACCAATGGACACATTCTTATCAACTATCAATGTCAAAACGGACACAAGCTATTAAGCGATCAATGCCAAACCAATGGATATGATGTTATCAGCTATCAATGTAAACACGGACACAAAGCTCAACTATCAATGGCAAAACGGAAACAAGCTAAGTTTAAGTCTAATGTACGTATTTACAAGATTAACGCAGATATATATGTAAACGTAGAAAAGCTAATCACAAAACATGTTTAATCATGTTACGTATAGTTATTTACAGCATGGATAGTTACTAATGCACACGATATTTATTACAATTACACGATATTTATTACAAATGTACATTTCCCTAAAACGAAATATAGTAATACATGCAACTTCATTGTGTCCATGAGTATTTGCACGATGCCCTTTATTAAATAATTAGCATTTTTTGTGGGGTCCTACCTCTTGCCCCCCCCTCTTTTTTTCCTGGCCCTTCCCCACCCCCATGATAATGAAAATTTCTCCAGACGTCTGACACACATCCCCCCCTAATACTGTGATCAAATTTTCTTCTAGTCATTATATTACTAATCTAACATAACTCTTAATTATACATTAAATAACTTTAGTAAATTATACTTTAAAAAAACTTTCTTCTGCCGTAAAATTTGTAATAATCTATATTGAATTCTTTGTGAATGTAGAGTTTAAAAATGCGATTAAACATCTTGACGTTGACGTTTGTTAAAATAACGTTTGTTTAGAAGGGAAAGGAAATTTAAAGGACCGTAGAAAGGTATTATTGAATAGGAACCCTCCATTAAGACAAGTCTGATTCACAACGCTTTCCTTTAAACCTTTGTCACAGAAAGGTTACAATAAGGAAGATATCGTGGATTTTCTGTCTTGAAAGGTTCTGCCTATTTCCTGCATTGTCTTTAAATCATATATATCCGCAAGTCACTTTTACGGAGAACAAATACCTCATTCATTCATGCTTAGATAATGTGGTTTAAGGAGTATCATTGTGAATCGGAACATTATTGTAGAAGGATAGAAATGAAGAAAACAGAGAAAGAGTTGAAAATGGTGGAAAAATGTTTATAAAACTTTACAATGAGTCAAATGCTTTTATCAAGTCCAAATAGAATTATTTTTCTCATTTAAAGTTTTATTACCGAAATTAAACCAGCACGAAAAATAGAAATCTCTCTCTCACGAATCACGAACTCCTTAATGTTATTAAAAGTACTGTACAATGTTCAATTACTGTACAGTACTGTACAATGCTCAATTACTGTACAGTACTGTACAATGTTCAATTACTGTACAGTACTGTACTAAACTTAAACCCTATTTACTTTACAATTCTTCAGAAATATTGCAAGTAAACTTTTGCAACGTTGCATTTTATGCAAATTTTACTAATTGTAAAGGTTAAAAGATTTTACAAGTTCTTGAGAGTCGTAAAATGTATTTAAAATAAACCTGGAGTAACGAGTCAATCCCTAGTATATTTCCCCACATTAGGCATAATTTAGGATGATGGATGATGAATATAAGTCAGTTTAGTTATGCGGGGGAAATTGCACAAAGTGATCTCAGAAAGAATAAATATAGAACCCACAGGGTTACCAACAAAGGATGCAACGTTTATGACGTTCTACAGTGGGTCCCACAATATTGTGGAAGAGGAATACGACAGCTAGACTCAAGTTTATAATTTCAAATAGTCATTAACATGAAATTCAGCAATTGTGAAACTTTTTGCTTTAAAACAACATCCACGATGGTCTCAATGTCGTCTTCTCATTCCACAGTTTTATTGAGTACCACTAAGAATTTCTAAAACTCCATTTAATATTCCTTAAGCTATTGTCTATTTTCAATATTTAAAGTTTAAAGATTTGTTTTAATATCTGTTTTCCACTGAATATAAAGATGATGGGCTTTTAGCAGTGTTTACTTCTTCGAGTTCAAATAGATTAATTATAACATTAATTAAACCTCTTTAATGTGTCTGGATAATTATGAAATATTAATTATATTTTGGAATTTAACAGAAAAAAGCAAATGTTAATGATTCTCCTCTTAATCTTCAGGATTGTTTATTAATGAAACAATATTATTAATGACTATGTGGATCCTTAGAAAGAGAACTTTTTGAGATGGAGATTGAACTCTTATTTGTTTTTATGTTTTCAATCATAACTTCTTTTAATAAAGAGCTATTAAGATAAACAAAAATGTTTTAAAATTATTAAAATTAACCGGATAAATTTGCGTTTCTTATACTTATGTGTAAAATCAAAACAAGAGGAGCTAAGAGGTCACAAAGTCATACAAGTCGCATAAAATTTACCTTCTGTCAAGTTCGCTGTAAAAATGTTAAAAACTACAATGTCGGAATCGGAATATTTTGATATATCTCATTCAAAATATGTCAATATTTGATATACTTTAATAAACTAAAATGCATAGAATATTACAAAGATCAATATTACGCAAAAACTAAAAAAAATTCTACATTTAATGGGGAAAATGGGTTCTATAGTTGGGACTCTCTAGACTTCTAATCTAATTTTATTAATTTTTAAAATTATCGTTTTTCTGGAGTATGGTGCGTAATATAAAGAGAGGAGTACAAGGATTAGTTTAAAAGTACTGTAAGAATAATTTTAGAAGCCCTCCTAGCAAAAAACGGCAATTCCTGATTCACATTGGTACCTCTGAAACCTTTATCTTATCAATAATGTTGAAGACATTGTCGATCTTCTAGACTTAAATGTGTTAAATTCTGACATTGAAAATAATCCGTATTAAAAACTATAAACAATGATTTATAATTAATTTACTTTATCAGATAAAGCTTTTAAGCACCACGTTATGACACGAGCATCGCCATCTTTAAATGGAGAATCATTTGAAATGACGCTTACAGTCCCTTTAATCTCTTACGAAAAAGTTTTAACCTCCTGGTAATCTATTGATATTATAAAACGTCGTCTTTACATCCCCATGCTTTTTAGCACATTATGATTAAATCAATAATTTTCTATCTCCAATGATTGAAGTTGTTTTGCCAAAATATTTATTCATATACTTGAAAAGGGTGAAGAGACTACGGGAAATAACAAAAACATATTTTGAAGATGTTTTTAGACAACCCGTTAACAATTCACAGTTCGTTTAATTATATATACGATATTACAGGGTTACCAACAAAGAATGAGAATTTAGAGACCTCTGTAGTGAGTTTTTTCAATCTTTTTTCCACGTGTCCAACTCAAATAGCTTCAAACTTGTTTTTAACTTCTCCAAATAATAAATTTTCCAATTATCAGATTATGATTTCGACAGACTCTCAAATCACACCTTCAGGGCTCGAATTTAATAATTGGAGAGAGGTTGCTAAACTAACTACAGCTGCTTCAACTCTTGAATCAGCGATTCAAGGTTAACGATTCATGGGATTTGAATCGTTGATTTAGGTCTTCAGCAACCTCATCAATTCATATTTTTATTATCAAAATTTTAAAATGTTTAAAAGGTTTGCAGAAAGATTAGCAGACAAAATACGATTAATTATTAATACCTGAAAAATTGGCGCAAATGTATTGTAAATATTTCTTCTGAAAAATAACCATGAATGATTGATAGTTCGGTTCCCTAAATATGCATTGTAATGTAAGTTAATTCCTTGAATGCTCGACTATATGTGTGTAATGATGATGTACTCAATACTTCATAAATAGAGGGTGGGGGGGAGGTGAATTACAAAATTTAATAATATTCAAGTTTTAATCATTTTCTATTCAAATAGATTTGAATTGAAGGAAATTTAAAAAAGAGGAGATGAAATAATTTTATTATTAATTGAGCCAAATATCAGTTTAACTATTTTTTTTAATGTTTTTACTAGCTTGTGTTACCTGTGTATTCATTTCAAATAGCGAAAACTTGTGTTGACAAAAATGTTGAAATTGTTTGTTTGCAGTAAGGTACTAATGCAAGGAAAGTTATTTCAGAGGTGTACGCATCTTTTGTACTGCAGTGTACTGCACTTTGGGCGGAAAAGTGAACACAAGACGGATGTCAGAGCCTGACATGGAATCCATTTGCACAAAAATAATCTATGAAATATTCTGGTCATAGGAAACTATTATGTGAATTATCAAAATTATCAAAATTAAATGCTTTTAAGCTCCTCGGATACAAGATGAACACTGATGCATCTAATCAATTGTTTATAAATTTCGCCCAGAGAGAACTGGTTTCAATATGTACGCAGAGTATACATAACTGCAATTAACTTTCCTTGTATTACTCTCTTGGTTTGTAGTAAGTTTTAGGGGAAAGGGGGAGGGAAAAGAAGAGGGGAAAGGGGGGATAGAGGAGGGGAAAGGGGGAGGGAAGGGTGATATCAAGGGATTCGGCTGAGAATATTGTAAGTAAGGTTTCTGCTTCTCCCAACTTTGTAAATTTCTATGAAAAGTTAGTTTTACAAGTTTGAATGTAAACTATTTATATTCTAATATTTAACACATCTTCTAGAAAAATAAGAGAAATATTTAAATATAAAAATATTAAAATATTTCACAAAATGTTGAAAATATTATTCTTCAGGCTGAATAAGGGTTGGATGAGGAGCTGTATACAACCAGAATAAACAGAATCTCAACAACAAAAACATTTGGGGAAAATATACTTCTAACCGGAGAAAATTTTACCCTGAAGCCAAAGAAAAATATTCCCTGAACCCGGAGAAAAATATTTCCTGAACCCGGAGAAAAATATTCTCCGAACTCGGAGAAAAATATTCACTGAACCCGGAGAAAAATATTCACTGAGCTCGGAGAAAAATATTTACTGAACTCGGAGAAAGATATACTTTGAACCCGGAGAAAGATATACTTTGAACCCGGAGAAAGATATACGTTGAACCCGGAGAAAGATATACTTTGAACCCGGATAAAGATATACTCTAAACCTGGAGAAAGATTTACTCCGAGCCCGGAGAAAAATATCCACCATATATGGAGAGAAAAGAAACTCCGAACCCAAAGAAAAATAATCTCTGAACCAAGAGAAAAATAAAACCCAAACCCAGAGAAACATAAACTCCGAACCCGGAGTAAAACATCCACTGAATTCCACTGAATTTAGAGCAAACAACAAATGTAAGACGAACTGTTCTCCAGCTTGAAGAAGGACCTGGAGTAGGTTAGAAGACTGGAATCCAGCTTGAAGAAGGATCTGGAGTAAACTGGTGCTTAGGATGGTTCCATGATCTCTGTATCCTGGTCAGCTTGGAAACCAAGAATGGGGTTTCTCACTTACTATCTTCTAATCTTAGGTAATAAAACTTTATTTTACGTTGAAAGGAATTGAGTTTTTGCCACAAATCGCAGTTTTTTAATACCTAAATCTCTACAACCAGATGATGCAAACCTTTCATATTTCAAACTTACATTGTTTGATCCACCAGAACTCATAGTTTGAAATATTAACGGTCTACGACATTTGGTTTTAAAGAAATTGGGATTTAAAAATCCGAGTTTGTGGCAAAAACTCAATTCCTTTGTTTCTAAAATAAAAACAAATTTACGTAATCTTCTCTTCGCATTCATTGATTTTCTTTTTTTAATGAGTAACTTTTTGAAATAACCACCGTATTTTTGTATGTACATATACTTGAAATATGACCACTTTTGTTTATTAAATGCAGAGCTTTTTTAATTTTTTTAATGGATTTATATTGGAAATTATAGGATAAGAACATTAGACAGTTTTTTTTTTAAAATTTGATTCATAAATCTTCTGTAAATGTATTTAGTGAACTTAAAGTAAAAAAGGTCAGATTTAAAAGATGCCAGTCACAGGTTTCACATCTTTAATTTAAATCCAAATTAAAAAGCCATTTCATCCCCCGCCCCCCCCCCCCTCTTATTTGATTAATTTTACTTAAAATAAAATTTTGCAGATCTGATTTGTTAAACACACCTTTATCAGATTCTTGAGTATAATTTTAGCAACATTGTTTAAACTGTTTTCCATGCTTTTCTCAGTTTCAGATTTAATTTCAGTTTTCTATTTATTTTAATGGATTGTGGAGCTGAGATGAATCTCATTTATTTATCACAGTTCCGAGAACGGGGACAGTTTCATTTAGAGATGAACATCGTTTTTTTAACATCAAAAATGTTTGGGGCTTTTTAGAGGCTACAAAAGAATCTGAGATGTTCAATTGTCAGAATTACTCTACATGAGTTTGTTTTAATTTAGATTTTGAAAACGGTTCACTGCGAAAAAAAAAGATTTATCAAAACGATTTATCAAAACGATTTATCAAAACGATTTATAAAACGATTTATCAAACGATTTATCAAAACGATTTATCAAACGATTTATCAAAACGATTTATCAAAACGATTTATCAAAACGATTTATCAAAACGATTTATCAAAACGATTTATCAAAAATATTTATCAAAACGAATCTCTCAAAACGATTTATCATAAGAATTTATCAAAAAGATTATTAAAACGATTAATCAAGATGAAAGATCAAAACAATTTATCAAAACGATTTATTAAAACGATTTTTAAAAACGATTTATCAAACGATTCATCAAAACGATTTTTCAAAACGATTTATCAAAACGATTTATCAAAACGATTTATCAAAACGATTTTAAAAAGAATGATAAACATCTTAGTTTCAAGTGAAATCCCGTAGAATAGTTTAAACCTCTAAAATGATTAAAACAATGCCCATCCCTACCCTATATAGTTTATTAGCTTTTTATTGCAAATCCGCAAATAAAAGAAATTTTCCCGATTGAAATCAAGATTGGATAAAATGTACAGAGCTACAAAAGAAACTCTGAAACAAATAAAACCTACGAAAGAATTTAAGAACTGCTAAATTTTCAAAAAAACTTTTCTAAATTGATTATCTTTTTTGTTATTCTTCCTAAACAAAAAGATTCTGATTCTTTGAATTTGTAAATTTTTTTAAGGTCCAATATGTGTTTCAGACTTGTTTTTAAAACGAATTGTAACATTTTCTTTCTTTCTTTTAAGTCCAATTTCACACTGTTTTCAACTCTAAAGGTTTTCAATTTATATTTAGATTGAAAGCACAATGAATGTATCAAACTTGAAAACCTTCTAATTTCAGTTTTTTTAAAGTAACTACAAAACGAACAATTGCCTTAAAATTTAAACCTTTATACCTGACAGTGCAATTCTTTGATATTTTAAACTTGAACTTCTTGATTGAGCAGAATTTATATTTAAGGATTATAAAGTCAGAGTTTGATAAAAATGTTCAGTTCTTTAATTGTTTTTATTAAGGCTTGGTATTATTGGCTGATTGTTATGGACCTCAGTTTCCCCGCCCCCTCCCTCCAAGCCTAACATTCACCAATGACACGGGGGGCGTGGTCTCTTGTGTTGTAGGAGGTGAGCCCCGCCCTACTATAGCCTGGGTAGGGCGGGAGGGAACGCCTCTTCCCTTAGTTCCAGATCTATATAGAGATATGGGGAATGGAACTCTGCAGTTTTTCAGGTTTGCGAATTTATAACTGTAACCGGTGCTTAGGATCCGGATCCGGAACCGTTGGATCCGCAACATTTCGGCTTCCTGGATCCGGAGCAAAATATCAACTAAAGCCTACTAAAAAATAATTTTGGCTCTTAAAACCCAACCTTCTAGTGTTAACTAATAATCCAGGATCCGGATCAAATTGAAATGGATTCTAAGCACTGCTATTAATATCATCATTATATCTGTCTTAATTTCTTTTAACAATTTACTATAATTTTATTATTTCTCTTTTTGTTCATATTGGGTTGCATTTTTGTTTATTGGGGTCCAGCTTTATATCGTAAAAACTAAATATTTTAAATAATTAAACACTTTTTGAGACACCCTGTACATAAAAAGAGTACATTTGTTGAAGATTTGTAAGAATTGGGAAACGGTGAATATTTTGTATTTTACAAGTTTTGTAGTAAAATAAAGTGTAGAGACGTAAACTCAATGAACCGATATAACACATAAGCATAAAACCCAGGAATTTGAAAGGAATGAAAGTAAAACCTTTTGAACAAAATAAATAGTTTTCAGTCTTTGACAGGTTGGAGACATTTTCTCAGGGTTCTACTATTTTCGTTTGTTCTCAACCTCAATCTCCATCTGATAAAAAACTGTCAATCAAGTTTAAAGGGACTGTAAGCGTAATTTTGAAATGACCCTTCATGATTAGTTATGTGGAAAATATGGTGGGGTATCAAGGTTAAAAATTGTTTAATTTTGATAATTTCTACATGTTTTCCAAGTAGCGGAAATGCGCGTCAGTTTTGCAGAAAACCTACAATCAGCTTTCAAAATTAAAAACATTAATATTTAATTTATCCTTGATCAGACAAAGCTTTTAAGGGTACCGTTGTTAATCTAGCATTGCCAAAGCAATAGATGATACAATTTTTAAAAAACTTGAATTTTTAAGAAGACTTTATACATTTTCTATGAAACTCATTGTATAAAAACGGGCAGTTGTCTTAGTTCTTTAAAAACAACTTATTTATAAAGGAACTGAGTTTTTGCCACAAACTCAAATCTGCTAATTCCTTTATCTGTGCAACATGATGGTGTAAACCTTTGATATTTCAAACTTTTAAAATATCAAAGCTCTACGACATTGGGTGACAACGAGGGATTATATAATGAGAGTTTATGCAGGGAAAGAATCAATTTTTTTTCATTCCGAATTTCATTAATACTTAATCATCGACAGTATATATTTAAACTAGTTATGTTTTGCAGTGTTGCAAACTTTAGTCTTGTCTTAGGAATTGAAACAAAGACTAATTTATTTTTCATCTGGTTTTGTTCCCAGCAGTTTCCATGTCTTGGTTTAAAGGGAATGTAACCGTAATTCCAAGTGATCCTCTATGCAAAAATGGCAATGCCCAATTCACAACCGTACCCTTGAAACCTTTATCTGATCAATACTATGGAAGATATTGTCGTGTTTCTAAGTTTTAAAGTGTATAACTCTGTTAATTATCATATGTTTTGTCACTTTTGTAGAGAAACCACAATTTGAAATAATCAGTTTTCAAAATGATAAACATTTAAATATAATTCATACTTGATCAGACACAGCTTTAAAGGAAAATTGCCCAAAAAACATTATAAAATGAGCATAAATGAACAATGCACTTTTTATAGAGACTGAAGGAGCGTGTAGAGTGTGACCGGCTGATCGAGCTCTCAGCTTTAAGTATATAGGTATATACATATACTTTAAAATGCATTCATCTAACATTTTTTAGAAAAAAGACTTTAAAACCTTTTTTCTAGAACCTGAATTGCACGGAGACGAGTTTTCCCTGCAGACCCTTCTAGCGAAGTCGTACTAAACTTCGCTCAACGGATCCTGTTTATTGTGAATACAATACAGGTATATATGTCTCATAAGAAACATTTGAACATTTAAAGAGAGTATATAACCTAAGCATGAAAAGAATCGGTATCTATTTCATGACTTATCAAAGTTTAATCGAGTTTTAAACTTTAGATCGCTGGGTGTGAGCGATCCTGATCTCTATAGGTTGTCATGCTACAAAATGATCCTATAGGAAAATAATATTTATCATTCTCTAAAACTCTGTTAGATATAAATATTAATTTGTTATATGTACTGTTGATTGATTGATTGATCATCTAAACGTCAATATTTTTAGACGTCGACTATCAATCATGAAGCAAGCTTTAAACCTGTGAACATAGATTATCTCTCTTGTAACTGGATAATGTCCGTAATGTAAGTTTTCATTTATTTATCATTCATAAAAGCCGCGCCTTATAAATAGCTGATTTTATCTTTAAATACTTTTGTAAAGGATGGTGGGAAAGGGGGGAGGTAGGTTTAGGAAATGAGCTATATGTATATTTAGAAAACTGATGAATAAACAATAAGGACGGAAATTCCTTTTAATGCTAAAATTCAAAATCAAACCGAAACTAAAATTAGTGGACTTCAATATTATTGTTTTTAGGAATTTACAATTTTATATAGATCCAGATTCCTACTTTCGTCGTCGTGTATATCAATACAATGAAGACGAATTTTATTTCAATTTTGATTTCTACCATGCGTGCAGAAACAGAGCCGACCAGGGTATGAACGTCATGGCTTTTAATTTTACATCACTTACATCTATTATACTTTTGTGGAGCTTTAGACATGTAAAACATTAGAAAGCATCTAGAAACGAATATTATGACAGAATTTAAGAACTTAATGTTAGTAGGGACATGTACATAATTCAATGATAAAAAAAATTGTTGACTGGTTGAGAGAACTTTTACATTTCTTTATAGATATATATTTTTTTCTTTTTTTTAATGAAATGTTCAATTAAAGGGAACAAAATGTTTTTAAAATATGATTCTTTGCTACGTAAAACTCCCCTAGGAATACATATCTTCAAATATACTTAATGAAAAGATGCTGATTGCTTAGAGGGAGGAGGGAGTGGGGAGGAAGGGGGAGGGGTTGGAGAGAGAGAAGAAATTACAGTGTCAACAAAATTTCTAGTTTCTTTCTTTTCCTTTTCAACCAACCTCTCATAAAGGTTTTATAATGGTTCTTCTAAACCTTGAAAACTTAAATATTTAAACCGTAACTGCTAGAAACACGTTTTTACTCAAAAGGTTGCAAAAAACACTTTTTTATTAATTAAAAAATTAATCCTTCATGTGAAAAACCAATATGTATAACAATTTTATATTTAGATGATGGTCAGAAAGTCGCCATTCTTAAACTTTCTTAAATTCGCTGATTTTTCTCTTTAAACTAGCGCATTTTCCAAAATTATAAATTCCGTCATTTTTATCCTTCCGTTAGTCATGTAAGTTGCCACAATTTTTTTTGGCTCGATCGGTTCAGCCGTTTTATTGGATACGAACAAACAGACAGACAAGCAACGAATAATGCTTCTAAAAAAACTAAATCTAAAGATCATTGAAGAATGTGGTTGTGAACAGTCCCATTACCTTAAAGAATAACGAAACTCAGCTCCTTGGACTTTTCTTTTAGTAAATAACAAAAGAAATATTAGAAAAAATGTTTGCGTATGCTACCATATTGGTATAATAATACATTTTGTGTCGATCAAAGAAAAGTATAGAAAAAGCTGACTTGCCCCCCCACTGCCCCCCCGGCCCCCCTCTTTCATCTCATCCATTTAAAGTGAAGTACCCTTGATTAGTATTCACTTCTACGAGAACTTGAAAATTCCTCTGAATAGGAAGTTTATATTTTTTAAGAATGAGAATTGTTAAAAAATAATTGGTCTGGTTTTTCTGAATTAATGCACTCTTGCCAAACATAGACGTACATTATACAAGCACTTTATTTTATAACTCGAATTCTGTTATATTTTTCTGTCTCATTTTGTGTCATTCTAATATCTGAATTCTTGGTTTAGTTCTGAGTATTCTTATATCTGAATTCTTGGTTTAGTCCTGAGTATTCTAATATCTGAATTCTTGGTTCAGTCCTGAGTATTCAAATATCTAAATTCTTGGTTTAGTCCTTAGTATTTTACTATCTGAATTCTAGGTTTAGTCCTAAGTTTTATAATATCTATACTCTAGGTTTAGTACTGAGTATTTTAGTATCTATACTCCAGGTTTAGTCCTGAGTATTCTAATATCTGTATTCTAGGTTTAGTCCTGAGTATTCTAATATCTATACTCTAGGTTTAGTCCTGAGTATTCTAATATATATACTCTAGGTTTAGTCCTGAGTATTCTAGTAGTTGTACTCTAAGTTTAGTCCTGAGTATTCAAATATCTGTACTCTAGGTTTAGTCCTGAGTATTATAATATCTATACTCTAGGTTTAGGAAACTCGAAGGTCTTTTCAACGATACTCTTTTAAATTTCGAACTCTGAATATTCTAATATCCTTACTCTAGGTTCAGTCCTGAGAAGTGGATGAGTGAGATTCATGACTCCCAGATAAGATGCCGTGCAACCAATCCGTACGGTACAATAGTATCTTCTCTACTGCACGTCAGAGCAGGTACAGTTTAATACAGTACAGCGCACTAGAATAGAACATATTTGATATGCAGATGTACACTTAAAATTAAAACTGTTCATAAATGAATGTATTTAACAGGACTTCTTTGTGGAGAATAATCTGGAACGCGTATCTTAGTTAACAGCAGTTTTAGAGACACAAAACTTTTATACTTCTTCCAAAAACTTAAGAAAAAACTTATCTGTTTCTTTATTAAATTTGAGTAAGTTGGTAGTCAAAGAACGATTTAAGTACATTTCTCTTTAAGGAAAAACAATATATGATCATTACGATCGAGTGATTGTTTGATAATACATAATTCTATTCTCCCTATCATATTTAATGAACATTCCCTTTTAAAAATGAATAATTTACCTTAATACATTTGAGGATAATCACTTGTATTTTATAACCTTTAAACGATATACATATTTAGAGGTTAATCTATTTAGGCCAAAGATGTTTCTCAGTTCTTTCTATTAATTTAGTAATCTAATGTGTTTCTAACATTGGACACTCTACAATGAAATTTTAAAAACCGGTTTATTCAACTATATGTTTAGATAAACTGAGAAAGATTCTACAGAACCCCCCACATATCTTTGATTACAAAAATTAAGTGTACCGCGTTGCAGGAATGATACAAAAACAATGTAAGTTAGGTTACATTTCTCCCAGATACTTTATCCAAACGAAAATCATGTAGAATCCTGAACCCTCGAGTGTCTCATTTAATCTCAATCTCATCTTTCCAGCATCAGCTTGTCTAGGTAGTCAGAGAACCGGTTTTTAATTAACCTGTTTTATTTGTGTCAGAACATTAGCTGGTCCAGGTAGTCGGAGAACCGGTTTTAAATTAACCTGTTTTAGTTGTGTCAGAACATCAGCTGGTCCAGGTAGTCGGAGAACCGGTTTTAAAACTAAACACTGGAATACTCAAATGCCAGGTCCCGGCCTCGCTGAAGCACAGTTCGGAGGTTGTCTCCTGGAAGTTTGGGAATAATTATATTTATCCTACTAAATCATGGACTTCAGGTTAGTTATCAACAATTTTTCAATGTTCTTGTTGCCATGTTATATTTGTTTGTTAGAGGGACTACCCACTTGGAACCTTGTTCTGATCAATAATGTGGAAGATAACGTTGTTTTTCTTGCATGAAACTGTTTAATATTCTGATAATTTCTGTTGAAAATTTCGTTATTATTTAATAATTTTCCATTGTTATCCAACCTCTTTCTTCATCTTCTTATATAGTTTACTCAAGTCATGACTCCAAATAGTCCAATGAACATGAGACACATAATTTGTTCAGTGTAAACAGACTCATTTCACTTAATAAGTGATTTAACCGGTATAACTATTTGCTTTGTAAAACTAAGGGTCCGTCCTAGTATACGGTTTTTGGACCCCCTCCCCCCCTCCTATCAATTTTGTACATTTATTTCTATTATTTTAGGATTAGGTTAGGTTAAGACAATTTCTGGGCCGAGCGCTGCGGCAAGGATAGGGTAGGGGGCCGAACGCTGCGGCTAGGACAGGCTAGGGGGCCGAGGGCCTCGGCTAGGACAGGTACAGGAGCCTGGCGCTGCGGCCATATGATCAAATACACAAAATGTACAAAATTGATAGGAGGGGGGGGGGGTACAAAATTGTTCTCCAGGAAATTGCACGGTTCTAGCTATAAATGTAAAAAAAGATAAATTAAAAAATATTGGGCTCTACACTGGATCTCAATAAATTCATTGAATTTAAGTAAATTTATTGGATTTCTGTTGAATCCTGGATAAAACGAAGTCCATCAGTTCCAATGTAATTAGTTTTATTGTTTCAAATAAATTCCAGTATTCTGCCCATTTCCAGAATATATTCTCGTGCCATTGGACCGTAAAATAAATTTAAGGGAATGGCAACTTTATTCAAAGCAAAGTTAAATTAAATATAGAAAATCAAAATCAACTTGATGAACATTTTTCAACATTACCTAAATTTTGGACGAAGGAATTTAATTTTTGCCACAAACTTATTTGAAATATTCAAGGTTGTAAAGATAAAAGGAAATAGAAAATTTTAATTTGTGGCAAAGACTCAATTCTTTGGAGATAATTTTGGTGGATAATTTTATTTTTTACGCTTCTTCCCTGGATAGGAATAAGAAAAACCTTGTTTAAGCCAGGTGTTAGAAAAACTATTGGAAAATGCATCAAAAATGCATTTTTTATTATTCCTTTGAAATTTTTTTCCAGTTGCTCAAATTTGATTTGATTCTAGACTTTCTGAAAGATTTTTGTTTTATACTTGCTTAGGTAGGGGTTTAATCTGTACAACTCTTTCACAAAAAAAATCTGTAAAACTTGAAATTTATCATTGAAACAAACTCAAGATTAAAAATAAATGGAAAAATATTCTTTATTTCTTTATTATCAAATCCAATTAGGTCTAAAGTGCTGTATTCTTAATTTCATGAACAATTAAAAATAATTTTTATATTTTTTTTCTTCGGTTCTCCTTGTTTTATCAATACCTAAGGTTTACATGAATGTTTTTGTAAAGTTGTAGGATTTAATTTGTAAATGTAGATTGTAGAGTTTATGTACCATGTAGTGGTTTGAGTTTTTTAGATATTGTAATGGTTACCTGGAGAATAAAGGTTTTTTTTTACCTAGCTCTGGATCCAGATTTTGCTACTGACAGCTTAAAATATACTCCTTAATAAAGTCTGGTTAGCTGTTATTATGTATTAAGTATCGAAACTCGTCGGAAAGACATTAATTCTTTTGATTGAATCTGGTTCTATGTGTAAGCATCAAGGGAGCTGAGAATAGTCAGGTTCTTATACAACTCTCCCCAGTTTCTTGTGGCTGAACAGACCCCTGTGTGGAATAACATGGCAGTACACCTTACTTGAAAAAAAAAAGAAGATAAAAGTTTAGAAAAGGAGGGGTTTCTCAATGCGTCTCTTCCCCCTCCCTCTGCCAGAAACAAGGAAAATGGAAACTTTGAAAGTAGAATCCTGCACTATGCATTATGATACCGGTTTATACTCTGCGGCTCCGAGGAAAAGGTTACTGTAGACTAGGCCGTATTCTGAATGCTGTCCGAGATGAACGCATTTTCCCCTTGTTTACAAGGGATTAGAATGCGTAGATCTTAAAAAGAGGAAAAGAAAACTGATGTATGATCAGCTATTAAGCAGTCAGAGAAACAAATTCAATGCTCTTAAAAAATTTGTTAAAAAGAAAAAAAGTTTAATTTAAAAGATAGGTATTGTAATGGTTCCTAACTCTAGAATATGTTTAGGTCTAGATATAGTAATGGTTCCTAACTCTAGAATATGTTTAGGTCTAGATATAGTAATGGTTCCTAACTCTAGAATATGTTTAGGTCTAGATATAGTAATGGTTCCTAACTCTAGAATATGTTCAGGTCTAGATATAGTAATGGTTCCTAACCCTAGACTATGTTTAGGTCTAGATACAGTAATGGTTCCTAACTCTAGAATATTTTTAGGTCTAGATAAAGTAATGGTTCCTAACTCTAGAATATGTTTAGGTCTAGAAGTAATGGTTCCTAACTCTAGAATATGTTTAGGTCTAGATATAGTGATGGTACCGAATGGAGAGCTCCATATCTCGTCTGTCGACTACAGGAAAGTTTTTAATCCTAGATTTGAAAACTAAAAAGAAAGTTTATTCAGAAAATAAAATAATGCTGGGAAAGAAAAAGCAACTTTTAGCTTCCTTAAAACACATCAGCGCCAGTTTCAGATCAGGGGGGTTGATGGTTGGAAAGAACGTTAAAAATGTTTATTTTTGGACATCAGATTCATATCAAATATTTTTTAAGGTTAAACTAGTGTAAACTGAAAATCACTTTTACAGTCTCTTTTAACTCCACTATCAGGTTAAACTTGCTCTCCAGGCACACTCATCATCCGTACTTCTGTATCATTCGGAACCTGGAGACAGGGATCAACCAGGAGAGCCTTCCTTTCCATCTCACAGTAAAAGGTATCCGGATATTTTCCTAGTTCTCAACTTTTAAACCACCCCAAAAATTACAGAATCTATCCCTTATTGATCCTGTTGGTCTTTGAGCCTATCCTTGCCGCGGAATTGCCGCGGCACTCGGCCCGGTAAAGAAACTGAGTTTTTGCCAGATACTGCGATTTTCTAAAACTTGTATCTTTGCAATCAGATTTAAACGATTGGACCTAACAGAAATTTTCATTGGGTTGAAACGATATAGGGATATAGGGATTAGAAAATCAGAGTTTGTGGTAAGCACTCAGTTCTTTAGAGACGATTATCGACGGAAGTTGATCCACCTTTTTTTGCACTCGGTCGTGGTTAAAGTCTCATATTTTATGGATATCTCTGTGTTATATTTAGGAGCAATTTTATTACACTAGCAATGGCCAAGGAATGCATTTGCAAAACTTTGTAAATATTCTGATATTACATTTTTAAAATTGTTCTAGCAAATCCTTAGAAAAGTTGAAAACTTTAAACAGTCTTGCGGATTTATTTGATGTTTATTCTTCTTATATAAGATATTTAAGATGACAGGGCAAATGTAACTTGTTTTCATGAAAAGTTATCAAAGCTGAGATTAAGCTGAGATTAAGCTGAGTTGTTTCTGCAAAAACACACTAACTATTTAAAACTTAAATAAAGATTTTTTAATAAACTTTTGAACACTGAATAACCCAGCAAGCTGTTTTATACATTTTATCCATCCTGTTAAAACTCTGGCAATAGTTCTAATTATAAATAACTAATTAAAGTAGAGTTAGTGGGTTGAGTTATTATATCTTTATTTAAAATGAATTGAGCTTTTAATTTAAAAAATGTAATGATAATTTTTTTATTTATAAAGATAATTTTTTGTTTAGATACAATTCCATTGATGCGTCCGGAGCAAATGTCTGACCAGGAGTTTTATATCAGCGTTGAACAGGGGCACATTGCAGCTCTACCATGCAGGGTTCAATCCTCTCCACCACCTACTCTCAGGTATGCAAGGATACTAGAAAAGTTCTAACCCTAAGTGTTCGATCGTCTCCACCCCATACTCTCAGGTATACCTAGAAAAAAACAGGATTCAATTCTCTTCGTCTATTACTTTTAAGTATATCTATATACAATAGCAGTTCTATCAAACAGAGCTTATCCTTTCTACCTTTTACTCTCATCAGGTATACCTTGAGACTATCGAGTAGGGTTCAATCATCTCTACCTACTACTCTCAGGTATACCTGGACACAAGAGTAGGGTCAGGGTTGAATCCTCTCAAACCTCTACTCTCTGGTATAAATATAGACACCAGAGAAGTTATCCTGTAGGGTTGAATCCTCTCCACCAACTACTCTCAGATATACCTATGCAAGAGCACGGTTCCGTCCCCTCCGACCCCTACTCTCAGGTTTACCTAAATATTAGAACACTTCTTTTTTGCTGACCTCATAGGAAAAAAAAACAATAATCCGTCTTCTGCCTACATCCACTATTCCATATATTCTTATATTTATGTGCTCTAAAGATGCTTTCCAATCCTCTATTTTATCTAGATTCTCATGCTCCATTGAGCGTTTTTCCTCTCAAACCTTTCCCGTCCTATATTTAGTTTAGTTTATAACATTGAACAATAATTTCTGTTCCACTTGGCTTTATAGGTTCCTTGTTCCAGGGGATATAGGTTATATCCCTCATACAGGAAATCCATACATACTGGATACAGATATCCATACATATAGGATAAAGATATCCATACATACATGATATATATATATCCATACATACAGGATATAGATATCCATACATACAGGGATATAGATATCCATACATACAGGAAATAGATATCCATACATACAGGATATAGATATCCATACATATAAGATATAGATATCCATACATACAGGATATATATATCCATACATACAGGGATATGGATACTTTTGGTTCCATTTTTGGTTTACTTGAAAATTCATACTTTTTACTTTTGACAAAACATTTGTATTTTCTTTGTAAGTTACTTCCGATAGAACTTTTTTTGATGAAATTTTAACAATATGTTTACAAAAATATATAAATAAATGTACATTGTACAAGCACTAAACACTGTTTTGAGTTTTGTCACTAACTTTTTAAAAAAGAATACAAAGGAATTGAGTTTTTGCCCCAAACTCAAATGTTCTAATCCCTATATATCTGCATGCAACCAGATGGTGTACACCTTTGATATTTGAAACTTAGATTATTTGATCCAACAGAACTCATAGTTTGAAATATATAAGGTCTGCGACATTTGCGTGCAAAGATATAGTAATTAGAAAATCAGAGGTTGTGGCAAAGACTCAATTCCTTTTTCTTTTTTCTTTCTCTAAAAACAAATCAAAGTTTTTAAAAACAAACAGCTGACATTTATAAAAAAGAAATAGTAAAATCAAGTTTAAAAACAAAAACATTTTGAATATTTTGCCAATGTCAGTCCATTACAATGTCTTTCAGGCCGATTAAACGTTTGGCATTGAATATCTCCTTATTCCGACATATTTCCAATATACTTCTTGTAAACATTCACGTCATCCTGTCAACTTTTTCACAAATAAAATGACTCTAGTCATATTTCGTGGAACCTTGAAAATATAGGATTCATAGAGCTTTATGCTTTAGAAGAGCTTTATTTAAAGACTTTAAGCGTTTTTAGATCGAACCTTTATCTAAATAAGAGTGCTTGCAAGAATTCACAATTTTGAAACCTAATGTTAGAACTTCATTGTGTTGGAATATCTCGATATCAAGCATTCATCTCTATGCCTTATAAAGGTATTGAGTTTTTGCAACCAACTCGAATTTTGTAATCCCTATAACATAGCTACCTAATGGTGTAAATCTTTGATATTTCAAACTTAGATTATTTAATCTAACATAATTCATAGTTTGAAATAGCTACGGTCGACAATATTGGGTTGCACAGATATAAAGATTAGAAATTACAGTTTGTGCTAACAATTCCTCTCCGGTTTCCCCTGGTGGTCATACCCTGCAGGGGTAGCTTTAATTAAGAGATCAAGCATTTATCTTTAAATATAAAAGTGCCCACAATGGATATCGAGATTGAGCATTCAAGATTATGGATACTTAACACCAAAGCTCTGACCTCGGACTAACTATGAATGACATGAAACTTTTTTCTTTATGGGACGAGAGACGAGAAATCCATGAGTAACTCTGTTAACGCCGCGGTCCAATATAATTTTTAGAATGATTTAAATAGACATCTTTATTATGAACTATTTTTTCGACTGAGCATTGTCTGGAAACAAAACCAACCTATTTAACTTTTAAACCAAGCTTAGAACATTCCTGTGGTTTTAACGAGTTCTCCAATCAAAGTTTAAGGCAAATGGTCGGACAAACAAACAGACAGATATTAATATTTTATATGTTAGGTTTATGCCATGGCTGATTCCTTGAAATGGAAAGGCACTTACTTCAATTAACATTAACCACCCCTTTTATTTCTAGTTGGTTCAATGTTCGGAGCAACCTGCTTCAGCCTGTTACTCAGGGTACAAGGATACATGCTACAGCTCATATGCTGGTCATCACGGATACACAGGTAGGAACAGGGAGATACAAGGGGGGGTGTAGGATCTGTTACTCAGGGTACAAGGATACATGCTACAGCTCATATGCTGGTCATCACGGATACACAGGTAGTGGCAGGGAGATACATGGGGAGGGGGTAGGATATGTTACTAAGGGTACAAGGATACATGCTACAGCTCATATGCTGGTCATCACGGATGCACAGGTAGAGATTGGGGATACAGGGAGGGGGG